GGAAACTATATCAAATAATTTTTTATGGATATCCATTATAACAAAGCCAATAATTGACATAAAGTTCATTGAGTAATTAATAAACATTTTTTAAATTTGATGGGAAACTGCTTGAAGGACGCAATCTTCCTGAGATTCGATACAGCAGCGTTTCCCAATCTGTGATACAGGTACCACCAGTGGTACACAGACCACCTGTCAGTGGTACATGTTAACAGATTTACTTTATATGACAAAAGTTTGCTGGTGGTACTTAAGGTTGTATAATTAAAATTTGATGGTGCACAAACTGTCACGGTTTGGGAACCGCTGCTATGCAGAATTAAAAACCTGCATGTACTGTACAAGTTCAGCGACTACATGATACATAGCCTCAGTAAACTGTACCATATTTAACTGCATGATATATTCACATTGCTGCAGACTGTCTACCTAGAAATCCTTTTTTAACAGTTGCACCAGGTACCTATCCTAGCCATTTTCTCATAAATCATTTGTTCAATTAGCGGGCATTTGCAGCTGTGCATATATTTATGCTCTTGTTTCTCATATTTAATGAATAAGTAGTACCAATATGAACATCAATATAGTAGTATAACTCTGTCCACAGTAAGGGCTCAGTAGCTGTTATAATATGATACTTGACAAAGGCCTTGGACACACATTACATCTCTGGTCCTATATGTAACCTGTTAGTGATACAGAAAGTTAGCATGCATACCCCCCTCCCCGCCTAGAGCATGTTCAGACAAGCATGGTCATGCAGTATGTGGTACCGCAAACACATTTGTGGCACCACATACTGCACAGTCCAGTGTTCTCTGGGCTGCAAGGGCTGCACGAGCGTGCGGTGCTCCATTTTTTGTTTGTTGTTTTTTTTTCCTCGTGGGATTTTTTGATATCCAGGGGGTCGGAAAAAAAAAAAAAGTGGTAAAAAAACCTGCCGAAAAGTGGAGCCAGGCTTCCAGAGCTGCTGGCCGGACACAGCTACTTGTCACCAGGGAACTAAACCTCCACACGCATCTAGATGTGCCTCTAGTGTTCAAGGTGACTCGAAGTTCCTTTCGGAAACAAATTTCTCCATAGCACTATGTTTTTTAGCACTACACATAACTTGCAAAGAGTGATGTAGTGCTGCAGGGGGCCTCTTTATACCCCAACGTCCCAGAGTACTCCTCTCCTTTCTTCGTTCCCCCCCTCAATCACATTTCCCAAGGGGGAAAGGATGAGAGAGTCTGACTCCCTTGACAGCTTGTGGGAAATATTGCTGCAGCCCTGCCAGGACCTGGTGCTGTGGCCTTGCTTACTTCAGCAAGCTGTCTCAGAGCCTCTGCTGTCTTGATAGCTGCTGCTCCCAGTCTGGGTCCTGAAACAGCAGCTGTCAAATACAGCCTGCCTTGTACCCTGCCAAGAGCATCAGCAGCTGTCAAACACAGTCCTCCCCCCAACCTCCCACCCTGCCTGCACAGGTGGCAGGGAGTGAGAAGAGCAGCATCTTTTGGGAGGCTGGGGAGGAGGAGTGTTGTCTTTGGCTGCTTCTCTGCTTTGGGAGTAGCAGACTGGAACTGCTGATCACTGACAACCTGTCCCAGTTTCCAATTGCAGGAGAGGGCAGGCTATCAATGATTGGGCTTACTGACAGCCTCCCCTGGGGGCAGAGGGAGCAAAGGAACAGCACTTGTCACCCCCTGTCTGGAGAGTATGCCTTTACGGAGATTTTGTAGTGTTACAGCCAGAGGGCTCTGCACATGTGTATACCTCCAAAGCCTCTGTTGTTTCTTGTAGGGCTGCAAATGAACACATGTCCAAGACCAAAGACCTAGTAGTGTTTCAAGGCAGGGTTCAGTGGAGACAGTGATTGTATTTTGGGGTACCATTGTTGTGAATTTCTACCTGTGCTAAACCTCCTTGCGTTTTCCAGATCTTAATATTCCATCTGATTTTAAAATATATATATATTCTTCTGTGGTGGGTGTCATGTTTATAGATTCAGATTCAGCATAATGAATGGTTCAAATCCTATGTGCATACAGAATCTTTTGTTCCGGACTTCCTTTGGTACCCAGTTCTATTCTTCCATTCTTGTATTTGTGATGTGACCCTGGTTCCCATGACCAGTTACTTTAAATACCATATACTCAAAGTATATACTGTTTATATTAGCATGAAAATTTTCTATTTCCTATCTCCCACAGCAACTTTGTGTTTATTCTTTAAGTACATTCCCAGAAATGGTAGCTTTCTCCAAATTAGCTAGTCTTTTACAAAGTTGCCTTTTTTAGCATTTAAAGTTGATTTTTTTTTTTTTTTTTTTTTTTTTTTTAAAGGAATGTGTCTTGGTTGGTCCTTTAATATAGATTTCCCCTTATTTTTTCAGATACATAAAGCTTCAAAAAGACTCTTCCTACATCAGGAGGACCAGCCCTAATCAATACGCTACACAAGGGGAGCAGATGGTTGTACTAGATCTCATGATGAAATTATTGAGCAGTTCAGGATTTTGGGGGATGAACACTAAGATATTGTAAATGGATTGTAGCCAATGGTCATTTTAGTACACTTTTTAACACTTAGATGTTTTGAATTTACATTCTTGTCAAGTGTAGTACATTCATTGGTTTTATTTCTCTTTCTTCCCTGTTTGTGACAGAACTATGCATTTGACCTACATTTTACATGTCCTTTCCAAGCAATTTGTTAAGGTATTTGTTATGTAGATACAATTGTTTTTTTCAGATTATAATAATATATATCTTTATGTTGTGGGTATATAAAGTTTGGGAGCAATTTGGGCAAACAAAATATAGAAATATGACCATGAACTTTAAACTTTTTGTTACTGTTAATGTAACGTGAACTTTTGTTGCATTTTAGAAACACTAATCGGAGGCATTGAGCTATGACGTTTGAGTTGCATCTGTCTGCACTGATACTATGTCAAACAGTTACACTACATGAGTTTCAAATCACTTAAAATAATTTTACAGTTTATAAAACATTTAATTTAATTCTTAGCTATATTCAGACAGGTTACTAAATTACTTTTCTACAAGTCTTTTATGTGCAAATTAGTGTTGCTTATTTTATGCACATTTGGTTTTTAAAACAAGGAAAACTGAAGACTTCATAACAACCTGTCGGGAAGACTCAGTGTCAACAGGCACATAGCTATGTAATTGGAATCAGTTTTGGGCTTACTAAGGCACACTTTTATTTTCCCCAAAGGACTGATCTTATCATACTTGGAATTAGTATATTGAATTAGAATTCACACAGTAAACTGTTGGAAACAGCAATTCTACGTAAATACGTGCTTCATAAATGAAGCCAGAATAAGATTAAATGCATCTAAAAATACACGTTAAAATGTAAAAATATTGCAACTCTAAGAATATTTTAAAATAGTCAAATTATTTTAATTTAGTTTTTTTAATTACTTTGATTTTTAATATAGCAGGTATTTTGTCTACCTGTTGCATGCTGCTGATACAATTATAGAGACATCTTCTTACTCTTAGGCTTTTTTGTGTTCCTTTTTGGCTCAGGAATAGTTGCTGTGATTTAAAAAAAAACCTGCAAAGTCTGATAAAGGAGCTAGAAAAAAGAAAATATACTTTCTTTTAAAGAGAGGCATCAAAGTAACCCTAACAGTGGTTGCATCTTAGTTGACAGGGACATTTTTTAAAATACCTTTAATACTGTTTTGAGACTAGGATTTTACTTGCATACACTTACAATGAAAGGGACATATTAGGTGCTTGTTTCTTGTTTGGAATTCCAGCTCACAAGGCTGAGAATTCCATGTGCAGAACAAGGGTAACATATGCCCCAAAGTGGTTTCTTTACACTTTACAGGAGAGCAATAATCCTCTTAAACTGTGATGTAGGTTGAGGCAGAATATGGTATGTTTTTTTGGTGTAAAATTACTTCTGATTGTGAATTGCAGAGCAATACTTTTTTACAAAGCCATATTTTATAGGGAAGCTTGGGAGAAAAAATTAAAACTGGTGAAAGGAGGATATAAACTTCACTGCGTTTTTGTACGAAGTGGCAGTCTATTTATAGAATTATGGGACTGTGAGGTTGCGTTATGCTGTGATCAAATTTTAAACTCTTTGTAATTAAGTATGTGATTTTATGAGCTTCATGTTTACAAAATTGTGCCAAGCTGGGCAAAGACAAGGGGATTTAAAAATAATGTATATTTAATCCGTTTTAATGTTTGGCTGCAATAAAAAACAGAAGAATATCTTTGTCCTGATGGTGTCATTATTTTCTACTTACTGAGTGTAGAAATATGGTATCTATAGGAGCAAATGAGTTTCTCTGCTTATCCTCCACCAATTAATATCACCAATCTGAAGTGTTGTGCTGCTGTAACTCTTCAATATACAATGACGACATTCTAGTGGAGCAAAAATGATCTGTTATTTCATTGGAGGAGCTGTTATTTCTATGGGCCAGTTATCAGCATGTTGCTAAATGTTACTGCTTTTGGATTATATGTCTGCTCTTCTGGAACCAGTTATGTAGTTGTCAGGCTCTGTGATTTCTTTATGACCTTGAGGGAATGGTATTTATCCACAGGTCAGATTTAGTAGGAAGTTACTGTAGTTTATATGGAAGAAAATTTTGCCTAGTGATCCAGTGGCAAGTATTAAGTGGGCGCTTCATCTGCATGATACTGAGTTTAACAAACCCATCTGCAATTGCTTATGCCCCTGATTTATTCTGATGATCTTGTATCCAAAGGGAAACTGGAATATGGCTGGGTGAAAGGTGGTAACCAATCTTCACCCCTCCCTGAACCTTACAGTGCCTGTTTCGCTGTAGCTGATGGAATCTGTGGAATTTTGTATTTGTCTACTTTTCGGAACATTTAAAGAAAATATACCAATGAAGAAAAACAGTATACGAGTAAAGTGAAATGGATCAATAAAATACATTTTCAGTGTGGAAAAATTATGCCACCTCAACTGTGCCTCTGTATATGGGTATAGGCCAATTATTTTTATGACAAAACTGATTTGCAAATAGGTACTCTGAAATAAGATATCATTTCTAGCAACATACTTTTTAAAACACAATCTAAACTTGATGCATTTATTCACTATATATATTGTAAAAGTAAAACAGGGTAACCACTGCTATTTACATTATGCTGGAATTTTATAGCGTGCATTTAGCTTGCTTATACTTTTAAATAATATTTGCAAGGTAATTGCATTTTAATGGTGATATTTTAACATGACTTGAATCGTAAATTTATTACTTCTTGGTGCACCGAGAACTAAACTTTAATGGGATTGGTGTGTTACCGGCTCCAGGTGTTGCTGTCTCTGCTAGAGAATCAGCTCACTGGTAGGGAGAATACCTATGGAGTTCTCACTGCTCACTGCAGCTGGCTGTGACATAGCCATCCCATTCTTCCTCCCTTTTCTAAGGGGGGAAAGAGAGAGGGAGGGAGAGTGGAGGGGTGTGGGAAGCTTGAGGGTCCAAGTAACTGGCCAGATTTTAAAATTGTCATGGGATGCTTCTGTTCACAAGGCTACTTTTTCAACAAGCAACTTCTTTGCAGTGGCGTTGCTATTCTGCTTTGTCAGTCTTCACAACAAGCAATAACAGGGTTGTAGGCCTGAATGATGGGATGAAAATGCTTTACAGCACCAGGAACTTTAAATTTTAATAGTGCTCCTGCTTTGCCAGTACCTACTGCTGCTTCTACAGCAATAGCTATTACCAGTGCTGTAGCAGTGGTGGTGCCAGTTGGTAGTGCAGCACCAGCAAGGTCTGATCACATGGTGGAGACCTTCTCATCAGCCCAAAACTTTTAAAGGGTGTCTTTACACATGCTCCAGGGATAAGAGGGGGCACTTTAATTATAGCGACTCTTGGGAGCCACTTTAATTAAAGCAGCCACACCATCTCATGTATTCAGCATCCCTTGCTTCAAAATGGTGGTGGGGGCCCTTTAACTAAAGCTTGTTCAAGAAGCTTTACTTTTAAAGTGCCTCTACTGCCATTTTGAAGCACAGACAGGCTGAATACATGAGATGCCACCAACAGACTTGATTGATTGAGTCTGCTCCAATGTGCTATAATGACATTGTGTCAGAGTAGGTGTCCCACAAGTCTGCAGACACTTTAAAAGCCCCTAGGGCAGTCCTGGTTTCCATCAGCTGTTTCCATGGCAGCAACAGCTGATCATGCAAGCATGTTGGTGAGCCTCAAGGGTGGAGGAAACCAAAAAGTAGTCTCCTATCACCCCCCTGACCGAAAACTGTGCCTTTGTGGCAAATTTGTCATACTCCATCCAAAGGGCTTTGAATGTGTAGCTACCCATATCACTTTTTTTTTGGTGTGGTTCTACAGATTTCATAGCATTACAGAAATAATATCTGTCACTGGCCCTTATGTGGCACATTCAGTCATATGCAGAAGGGAAATTTGGGTAAATGGGAATGGAGATTTTTAGGCTGGAGGAGGAGGAAGGTTATGTGGTTCAGTACTTCATGGTTAACTACACATTCCTGCCTTTGAATCTGTCCTGTGTTCTATGAGTGGAGTTGGGGTGAGAAGGTAAATTCTACAGTGTCAAAGAAATAGAAGTCATGCACACAACTGTGTGTGTCTAGAGAATGAAATGCTATCTTGCTTTAGAAACAGTGTGTTATGGACCTGTATTAGAGGTGTATATATAGCTTATTGCAGTTGCTCATGCAAACAACGTAAAAGGTCTCAACTCTTTGAGAGAACCACATGCGTTTGTGCACTATAGTGAATGTATCCAGTGAATCTGTAGATTTGAATATTCCAATGTCTCTCTTTCAGTTCCTGGATTGCAAGATACCTTATTTACTTGAATAGAAGTCAGTGTTTTCCCTTGCTCCCCAATCAGCATGGGGAGAAAAGCCCCTTGTCTTCTATTCACATACATGGAACCCTCATTAAATACATTGTCTATCATTAAACTGCTGCTGTGCTCAGCAACAGAAACCAGCTATCAAATTGATTAAATGCAGCCAGCACTGACCATGAGTATAAAATGTATGGCCCATATTGGGTAAACACTGGGAACCTATCACAAGGATAAGGTAGTGCAACCCATCTGAATAACCCATTGTGTGCAGTCCCCCTCAGTGCCAACTCTTTCGCAAGTCATAGTGAGCCACTACACTTAATACATTTTTACTTCCTCTTCACTCCCACAGCTGAGTTGTGCCTTTTGTTTCCCATTTCGAATGAGTGCCATTTATTCAAAGTAGCTGGCAAACCTCACCAAACAGTTCATCCAGAATATCTCAGTTTCCCCCGCTCTCAGCCTGATATATATAGTTAGTGGTCCCCATCCTCCATGAGGTGGAGCCAGACCAGGTTGTCCTGCACCGCATCTGTACATACATTTTTTGGAGGATCCCAGGATTAATGACAAGAACACCTGGATCCAGTTACGAGTAGGGAACTAATTAACACACAGTTCCTTTTGGAGGTAGGGGTGGGGGGTTCTGGAGTATACACTCATACTGAACAGCACTGAGCTGTAGGATCACCATGGCTTAAAATGCTGTTGACTCTGCTGGGGCCAAGCCCAATGAACTGTGCCATAGATAATGAGCTTTTTACTTTGGATTAATATGAATAGAAACCATCTATTTGAACTAGTTTGTACTATATATAAGTACAACGGTGCTGCTTTAAAGTATGCTTGTGGATGGAGTACCTGTGCTGAAATTTGCAGCAATTTCTAAAAAGGTAAAAATGCATCCATTCTGGATGAACTTAAGTCTATGGGTTCCTGTTATAATTTGCTTATATGCAAATTACACTAGGTATATTCATTTCAAGGTCAGTATTTTCAAAGTTGTCTTTTACTTCTATGTGCTCATGGAGAGCAGGGTCTGAAAGTAAGGAAGGGAAGGGGCTGCATGGGGAAGAAGTTGGGCAGGGCAGAGAGCAAGAGTGTATGTGACCCAACAGATTTATTTTCCCTGCTGTAGCAGTGGAATGGGGAGAAATTCAATGCCAACCTACAATAATTAGATTCTATGTGTCGAAAATTATAACAAATCTATACATTTTCCATATATTGAATCTAATTATGGGGGAGTTGTCTTATATTTAGGGTCATCTTACATTAGAATAAAAATGATAATTGGTAGTCCCAATTTCTAATGTAATTTAAGAGTTCTCATAATCTCATTATTTACTTAATTTAGTATTGTAACTTGGTTAGCAATGGCTTGAACCTTCTATTGTGAGTGAAAACTACAATAGTCTATAATCAAGTGGTTTTTAAGTACCAGTAAAAAGATGACAGACAGTCTCCTTAAGAATTTTACATGTAGCTCATTCCAGAACAGTGTTTCTGGGATGCTTGGTTAAAAACAAACAAGCCTCCAAAAATTAAAATGTAGTATTGTGGGAAAACTAGTACGCTTTACCAGTAAATTCTTAATTTTTTTTGGTTATTTTTTTTAATGATGTAGAAATTCATACATATTAGCTTGGATTCAGGTAAAGTTTGAATTTAAGATGACCGCCCTCCCATCATTTGATTCTAACATGGAAAATTTTTAAATTTGTTATAATTTTTCCTTATATAGAATCAAGTTATTGGAGGATTGTCTTAAATTCACTTCTTCCTCCTTCTGCCTGGTCTACTACCAGGAGCCTGAGCCCCACACCCACTTGCCCCTGCCTTCTCCACTGCCTCCCCACCTGTGCCATTTCTTACCCTCTGTTGGGAGTCCAGCTCCATTCCAGTTTGGAACACGGAGCACATGCTGGCTACAGCCCCTGCCCAACCTAGCAGCAATGGTGGTGGTGGCAGCCACAGCAACTCTGGCTCCAGCCCTGGAGCTGAAGCCAGAGCCAGGATTGCCACCACTACCACTGCTGCAGCCAAGTGAGGCAGGGGCTGGAGCCCTAACTGAGGGTAAGCAGTGGTGGCGGGATTATGCAATGGGTAAAGAGGCGGCAGGGGCAACTGGTGGCAGATGGTTGTTGCAGCTTTGACCCTGAGCTTGGGTTGGGGCAAGAGCCAGCTGCAGCAGCCATCTACTCTCCACTTTGTACTTGAATCCAAGATGTGGGGTGGGAGGGCAGATCTCATCTTGGATTTAATTAAATACGATTTTTAGTTTTGCTTTTTGTCGTCCTTGCTGAGAAATCATATCTTTTAATACTTTGGTGAGGATTAGAGTATAGGTTAGAGAGAGAAATATATAAATGTAAATTGACCTT